TTGCATAGCAGAGTGAATCTACTTAACACTACCGGCCTGCACACTTAAAAATGGTTAAGATGGTGAACTTAGGTTATTTGTTTTTTCTATAATTGAAGAGAAAAAGGAAAACAATTTGTTAATGGGTGTGTGTCATCGTATCTACCTCCCGGGGTTGTTGAGAGCGTTACATGATATAAAGCATGTCACAGTCCTGGGCTAGGAACTGCTCAGGAAATTAGAGCTGTTATTGTTGCACCGAATCACTGGTGGCTCAGATGGTAAAGCATCTGCCTGCAATGCGGGAGACGCGGGTTCGATCCCTGGGTCAGGAAGATCTCCTGGAGAAGGAAATGGCAACTCACTCCAGTACTCTTGCCTGGAAAATCCCGTGGACAGAGGAGCCTGGTGAGCTACAGGTCGTAGGGTCGCAAAGAGTCAGACACAACTGAGCAACTTCACTTTCACTTTCTTTCTTTCTTATTGCTGTAGTGATGGTTGTTAAGGTTTTTAACCAAGAGTGTTATTCAGTTGCTAAGTCATGCCTCACCCTTTGCAACCCCATGGACTGCAGCACACCAGGTTACCATGAATGACTTACTACTTAAGGCTTTTTGTTTTTTTAATTGAAGGATAATTGTTTCACAGAATTTTGTTGTTTTCTGCCAAACCTCAACATGAATCAGCCTTAGGGACACATGTATCCCCTCTCTTTTGAACCTCACCCCCACCTCCTGCCCCATCCCACCCCTCTAGGTGGATACAGAGCCCCTGTTTGAGTTTCCTGAACCATACAGCAAATTCCTGTTGGCTATCTATTTACAGATGGTAATGTAAATTTCCGTGTTACTCTTTCCATACATCTCACCCTCTCCTCCCCTCTCCCCATGTCCATAAGTCTATTCTCTATGTCTGTTTCTCCATTGCTGCCCTGTAAATAAATTCTTCAGTACCGTTTTTCTAGATTACGTATATATGCATTAGAATACGAAGTTTCTCTTTCTGACTCTTAAAGGCGTTTTTAAACCAAATCTTAGCCCAACACTTCAAGCTGATGGAAGTTCCCTCTTCTTTTTACTTATATATTCATTTATAGCTGTGCTAGATCTGTGCAGACTTTTCTTTAGTTGCAGCAAGTGGGGGCAGCTCTCGTGGTGGTGCACGGGGCCTCTCACTGCGGTGGCTTCTCTTGTTGCAGAGCTTTCAGCAGTCGCGGCAGGTGGGCTCAGGAAGTGCAGCCCCTGGGCTCTAGAGCACAGGCTCAGTAGCTGTCTCGCTTGGATTTAGTTGCTCCTTGGCACGTGGGATCTTCCCAGATCAGGACTGAACCCATGTCTCCTGCACTGGCAGGCAGACTCTTCACCACTGAGCCACCAGGGGAGCCCCACCTCTTCTTTCCAGAATGGTCCACCAATTTCTCAGAAACGCATTGAGCTGTGAAACCAAAACTTATCTAAAATCACTCATTAAGGAATGTTTCAAACCCTCCCCACAAATGCAAATAGCTTTTGACAGTCTTCAGGTTTCTGAATCTTGACCAGCAGACTATTCAACTTCACTTGTGGATCCCTGTGTTAAAAAAAACCAACCCCTAAATAAAAAAATAAAGTAAAAAAAAAAAAAAAAAAAAAACCAACCCTGGGCTTCTCTGGCCGTCCAGAGGTTAAGATTCCATACTTCCACTATATGAGGCACGGTTCAATCCCTGGTAAGGGAACTAAGATCCCACGTGCCTGCCCGGTATGCTAAAAAAACAAAAACAAAAGACCAACCATCTTCTAGGTTGATACACGAAAGCAGGAGGACATTCATACTAGGAAGCCAGATTCTTAACACTGACATCCTCAATTTGCAGAGATGAAGGACACAAAGAACAAAAATGTTAACTTTTGTTTTCCAGCTTAAGCTTAACAAAGGAAGTCAAGCAATATCCGCCACCATAAAAGAATGAAATGATCTCCCTGTCTTGAAACTCTATGTGAAATATTTTGCATCTCCAAGGTGTACACGGAATTCAAAGCAGATTCCGGGAACATGGCGTAGACCCAAAGCCATCACCTTGATTCTCTGTGCAGCATTCTGATTTCATGTCCATCTATGCTAATTTCATCTCTCCAGCCTATCATTGAAGCGTTCGCAGGACAGATGTGCTGTTTTACAGGGCCGTAATCCACTCGGTAGGCGGGTAACCAGGAGGCCCTTGGTCTTCATCATTTACTCCAATAAGAAAACCGGACGATTGGCGTGTAAAGCAGCATGAGCCCCACGCCCTGATTCCACCTGTCACACTAACCCAGAGTATCTTACAACTTCTAACCAAAGTCACCAAATTCATCACGGTCACAGAGGTGATAAAAATTAGCTCCAGGCTGAATGAAATTAGGAAAAGACCAAATCTGGGGGTACAAATAGTAAAATGGGCAGGTTGGAAAATGACTTCATGGTGTAGGATTTTTGGCCACGCAGGTGTTCATCTGAATCAGATTTCTCATCCCAAGGCTGAGAAGGCTAGGCACTGGGGAGGATTCTAATCCTAATGACTTTTAAATCTCTCTTGATTAAAAAATAAATTTCATAGCAGAAGCCAATACAATATGGTAGAGCAATTGTCCTCCAATAATTTTATTTTGTTTTCTATTTCTCCATATTATATAATTATAATTTTTGATAAGTAAATAAATTTCAGAGTCACTGCTAAGGAGTCCCTGCCAGTTTTTTTAACCTTCATTCTGTGTATAACTCTATATTATTATAAGGGGTGAGGGTTTCCAGGGAGCCCAAGAGACCATCCCAAAGTCTTGAATAATGACAATACTGACTGTTGAGGTGTGATACTTGTAAAATCCACAACTGGAAGGCAATATATATGAATGGCAGTATATACCAATCAGAGACATTACTTTGCCAACAAAGTTCTGTATAGTCAAAGCTGTGGTTTTTCCAGTGGTCATGTATGGATGTGAGAGTTGGACCATAAAGAATGCTGAGCGCTGAAGAATTGGTGCTTTAGAACTGTGGTGTTGTAGAAAACTCTAGAGAGTCCCCTGGACTGCAAGGAGATCAAACCAGTCAGTCCTAAAGGAAATCAATCCTAAATATTTACTGAAAGAACTGATGCTGAAACTGAAGCTCCAATAATTTGGCCACCTGACACAAAGAGCCAACTCATTAGAAAAGACTCTGATGCTGGGAAAGATTGAGGGCAGGAGGAGAAGGGGACGACAGAGGATGAGATGGTTGGATGGCATCACTGACTCGATGGATATGAGCTTGAGCAAGCTCCGGGAGATGGTGAAGGACAGAGGAGCCTGTTGTGCTGCAGTCCATGGGGTCACAAAGAGTCGGACATGACTGAGCGATAAACAACAACAACAACAATATACAAATGGACCATTCATGAGGGCTGTGATTGCTCCAACCACCTCCAGGTCCCAAAAGACTACCTGCTCCCCACTCACACCCACAAACTTACCAACAGTTAGAAAGAAAAGGAATTAAAAAGAGTGACGATCACGGAACTTCCCTGCTGGTCCAGTGGCTAAGACGCTGTGCTCCCAATGCAGGGGGCCCTGGAGTTCCATCCCTGATCAGGGAACTAGATTCCAAATGCAGCAACTAAGACCCAGAACAGCCAAATAAATAACGTGAAAGTGGAAGTGTTAGTTGCTCAGTCGTGTCCAACTCTTTTCAACCCCATGGACTGTAGCCCACCAGGCTCCTCTGTCCATGGGATTTCCCAGGCAAGAATACTGCAGTGGGTTGCCATTTCCTCCTCCAGGGGATTTTCCCAAGCCAGAGATTGAACCCAGGTCTTCTGCATTGCAGGCAGATTCTTTACCATCAGAGCCATCAGGGAATATTTTTGGAAAAAGAAGAGCTATGATTGTAAACGGCAAAAAGAAGTGATTAAAAGAACATGGATAACGAGACATTAACTTCAGACTCTGGGCATGCTGCTTCTGTCCATTTAATTCTTTTTTCTGAGGCACTAAAGAAACTTCTTTGTCCTCTTAATGTGTGAGTCTCTAACAAAGGCTTGGGGTTCTGGGACCCAAGTACTAGCCCCAGCTCTAACTTTTCCTAGTGAAGTGACGTTGGAAAATCGTGTTAACTTCTTTGGGCCTCAGAGTCCTCACCTAGAACAGGACTGAGATCATGTGATACGTTCAATAAGTATTTACAAAAGGTTTAAAAAAAAAAAAAGGGAGCCTTGGGGGACTTCCCTGGTGGTCCAGTGGCTAAGACTCCACAGTCCTAACACAAGGGGTCAGGGTTTGATCCCTGGTCAGGGAACTAGATCCCATAGACCACAACTAAGACCCGGTGCATCCAAATAAATAAATAAGAATATAGATTTTAAAAAGCGAGTCTCTAAAATGGGGATAAGCCAAGAGATTGCAGGTTCTTTCCAGGCTCACCGTTCAACAGAGCGATGATTTCTTTGTTACGGACTCACGGCCCCTGTCACTTTAATCCTTTCCTGCAGAGTGTGTACTGACAGACAGAGGGATCTCTTTCTACTCAGTGTATTTCTACCTTATGTCTTCCCATCACACGGTAGTGCTACCCCACAATTAGGTTACAGCAAGAAGGAAGCATTCTCCCGTTAACCCGACCATACAATTATTTACTCCAACAACAATCAGTTGCCAGAGTGTATTACTGTTTTCACACTTCTATGCAATATTTCAAAAAGCATATAAGCAAGTATTACATTTTCCTTCCACCCTTGTTTTCTGCTTGATTTCAAGAGTTAAATGAACAGTTTCCAATATCTTGTGTCTGATGGTTTTTCCTCTCCATTAAAATGCTGAAGGGTTTTTTTTTTTTCCTCCCCCTCTTTAGGAGGAAGAAAAGAAGTCTGTCCCCTGTAATTTACTTTGGCTTTCTCAAAATTTGGGCAGGAAAGTCAGTATAATTCAGGTGGAATCTGAAATGTTCTTGTCGTACAAGTGTGCACAGAAAGGAAGCCTATAATTTCCGAGCGTTCTTTCAGGAAGTTTGTATTCTCTGTCTTCCAGGGAGCCTTTACTTTCGGAGGGAGTATGATCGACATGCCGTTACTGAAGCAGGCCCAGAACATTGTTACGCTTGCCACATCCATCAAGGGAAAATGCTCTGCTAAATGAAGCTCTCATCAGGTGGGCCGAACATATATAGTGGTTTTTCTTAAAGACAAACCACTATACTCAAGGCAACTTCTTAGTATGCTGGATTGGAGCCTTTCCCCGTTTACAGTTCATGTTAATCACAATTTTTTTTTTTCTTTTTTTGGTTATCTCACTGGGGCCAGTTATTCCTCTAAAAATGAACTTTCTTCTTTTTGGTTCCAAGCGTGTGATTTTACTATTCACGGATGTGTTCCAAGTTTGGACTTCTGATTTCGCAGGGAGATAAAATAGTGGGGAGAGATGGGCTGTGAGTGAAAGTGAAGTCTTTAACAAAACATATTTTTCCTGAATACGTAAACTCCCTTCACCCTGCTGATGTTAGATGTTTCCCACATTGTTCATTGTTCACATGACACCGTAAATAATTTTTAAGAAAGGCCGACCTTTTAAAAAACAACAACTCAATGAAGGGATGGTGTTTATTTCACTAGTAACCTGGTAAAACAACAGAGATGGCATAGAAAAGTTAAGGACCATACAGGTTTATATAGATACCTTGTAAAAATAAATTGTCAAAACTGATTGCTTTCACCTCCACCCTCTCCCCCAAAATGAAACCTCCGTCTCCTCAAACTGCTAGGTGATGACTCTGAAAGCCCTCATCCTGGGTGAATGCTTTTGGGTCAACTGTTACCAGCAATTAAAATATAAATGTGCAGAAACTCAAGACCATCCATTCTCTCCCTTTATTTCCCTGTTTAACTGTTTGCCATTGAGGCCATCTCCCCCCGGTAAATGTATGGCTGGGACAGGGCCTCCTCAGCAATAAACTTGTAGCCTCTGAGAAGACACAATGCCTCCGAGCTGGTGCATATGGTCCCCTGTGAGATTTGCATCACATTAGAGATGCGGCTACAGGTCATATGGGTGGTGTGGTTAACGGGCTTAGTAAAGCTGTTTTGAAGAGGTTAACCCAGCTTGTAGTAAGGGTAAATAAACATAACAACCACCCATTCTTCCCTATTCAGCATGTGCTCTTATATTGAAGGCTAAAGGGTATTGAAGCCGCGAAGGATCAACTTGTGTTTGCCAGAGGACGCCAATGAAATTTGAAACACCAACAATCAGAGATTTTGTTTCTGCTCCTCATTAAATCATGAGCTTTTGTGTGGAGACTCCGGACGACTGTTCTTTAAGAAATTAACAGAATGGGAAGTTTTAAACTCTACACCAACCTTTTCATGACCTACACAGCAGCAAAGCTGCCACTCTTAGACAAACACCGCGGGGAAGGCTGTTCTGTTTATTTAAATTTGTAAATAGAAAACAGTTGTTTTTTTTTTTTTTAATTTTCATTTTTCACCTTCTCCTATGCCCTTTTTATCTACTACGTGGCCGCTACCTTGTGCCCCAACCGGGGGTTTGCTTTCCTCCTACCTCTTCCAGGCCCTCCAGGAAGCCCGAGAGGGGAGTAGGGCTGATGGTTTTATACAAGGAAAGGCACCATGGAGCCCAAGCGAAGTGGGAGAGGCCCACAAGCGATCACGCAGCACCCACCCACCTGGGCAGGGCGGTTGCCACAGACACGCAGAGGAACGTGATCCAGGCTGGGCAAGTCCTGGGAAACACAGGCTTGAGACATGAACTAATATTCTCCCCAACATGGGACGGGCGGAGACATCATTTCTTAACTGAGATGGGATGTGCTTGGCTGGTGTCCACTTGGAAAAAAAAAAAGGTGGGAACCTGCTTCCTCCTCCCTCAGAGGGGATGCAAGGATGAAGGTGGGGTCTCAGCCAACTTGGAGGTGACAAGCCTCCAGCCAAACTGGGCCTCAGGACTTCGGACAGTGGCAGTGGGCAGCAGTCACGGAAGAAGCCACCCCCCTCCCCGCCAACCTACTGAGCAGCTGTCCCCACCGAGGCTGGTTGTCGGTGTGTGCAGGGTAAATCACGACCTGTGGTTTAAAAACCACAGTTTTTGTGCAGCTGGACCCCACTTCTCAGAACACTGAAATCCAGGAGGACTGCTTGGAGGCAGAGGGAGGCTTCCTCTCTTTTTGTCCTGCAATATACCACCATCAGGATATCAGAAGCATTTATTGTTGTTCAGTCGCTCAGGTGTGTCCGACTCTTTGTGACCCCATGGACTGCAGCACGCCAGGCTTCCCTGTCCTTCACCATCTCCTGGAGTTTGCTCAAACTCATGTCCATTGAGTCAGTGATGCCATCCTCTGGTTATCTCATCCTCTGTTGTCTCCTTTTCCTCTTGCCTTCTATCTTTCCCAGCATCAGGATTTTTTCTAGTGAGTTGGCTCTTTGCATCAGGTGGCCAAAGTATTGACGTTTCAGCTTCAGCATCAGTCCTTCTAATGAATATGCAGGGTTGATTTCTTTAGGATTGACTGGTTTGCTCTCCTTGCAGTCCAAGGTACTCTCAAGAGTTTTCTCCAACACCACAGTTCAAAAGAATCAATTCTTTGGTGCTCAGCCTTCTTTATGGTCCAGCTCTCACATCCACACATGACTACTGGAAAAACCATAGCCTTGACTATGCTGACCTTTGTCGGAAAAGTAATGTCTCTGCTTTTTAATATGCTGTCTAGTTGGTCATAGCTTTTCTTCCAAGGAACAAGTGTCTTTTAATTTCATGGCTGCAGTCACTGTCTGCAGTGATTTTGGAGCCCAAGAAAATAAAGTCTCTCACTGTTTCCTTTGTTTCCCCATCTATTTGCCATGAAGTGATGGGACCGGATGCCATGATCTTAGTTTTCAGAAGCATAGGCAGAGCCTATCTTAAACAAAAGAAGGTAATAAAAGCCTTTCTTCGTTCTTTCTACAGGCAGCCCCCATTTCAATGCAGCCGCCCTGCCCATCCTCACAGGCTGGTCCAGATTAACCTCCCCCCAGCGCCAGGTTTTGACAGCATGAAAGGGAGACATCCTCATTTTCATCCCTGTTACATAGGCAACCCCCGAACCTGACAGGTGGACCTCCTGGAACCTGGGGGTCCCTGAGAGCCAAGGCCCCCACTCTAAGGGACCCCAGAGGCCAGGGCAAAGGCATGCGGACCTCAAAAAAAGCAATGCTCTCAGCAGGATCTCCAGGTGGTCCTGAGAGCCGGGCCTGGCAAGGTCTTCCCCACTGCCATCCCTAGTGGAACCACAGGTTCCCAGAATTCGGGCCATATTGGACTAGTCACCACACCCTTCATCTCAAACCACACTGTGTTCCAACAAAACCACCTTGCTGTTTAAGTCTCCCTAAGGATCAGATTTATCATCTTTGTCATAGCCCCAGGGTCCCAACCATGGTAAGCTCATGACATTAGGACCCACTCGAGTCAAAAATCTGGGCCAAGGTCCCCACTCTCTGCGCACATACCTTAAGGAGGGACGCAGAAGAGGGCTGAGTCAGGGTCAAAGAAGAACAAAGATGTTGGGAGGCAAGAGGTATCCCCACTGTTTCCATACCCACTTCTCGTTGGTGCCTCTGTGGGTTAAGGTCATCCAGGGTGGGTAATGGGAGCTGGTGAGCTCACCCCACTTGGCCCATGACAACGTCCAACCTGGGAATTCCTCCCAGCTAGGCGTGGACTGGCTATCAGAAGAGAAACTTGCAGTAATTTGATTAATTAAAACCCATACCTGTTTCTATTTTGTGCAGCTCATCACAAGCTGCTTTGCCATATTACCCCCCTGTTATTAATTCTTGGGGGCTAAATTATGGGTAACACTATTAAAACATTATCAGAACTAATGAGAAACAATTACTTAGAAAATGAGCCAGGACAAGATTGAGTTGAGAACATCAGTGGTGATCACCACAGATTAGTTTAATAAATCATCAGGTGTAAGACAAGACTGACTGTATGTATGCAAAGCCCCGTCACGGGGAAATGAAATTGAGATTTTTTTTTGCATAATTTTTTCATTAATCTCAATAGGACCCGCGTGGTGTAGATTGTTTTATCCCCTAATACCTTGCCTGAGGGGGGGTGCCCAATAATGTCTTCATTGTTTTACTGAGGTCTTAATGACAATCTGTGACAACCTCATTTTAATGTATAGAGGATTATATCAGTATAATCATGTTTTATTGAAATGGTGAGGGGGACTCCAGCAGAGTCAGGTACTGTCCTGAGTACAAGTTGGGAAGTTCCTGGACATCAGATTTACAAGTATTGAATCCCCAATCGCCTGGATATCCTCTCCTTCAGGGGCTGACTGGGAAAAGTGTCCTCTAGAACCAAGACTTGCCGCCTCCAGTTTGAATTTCAAAGTAACTCCTTGCCTGGCATATTTTGCTGAGTAAATGGAACAAACCATGTGCGGTTTTCTTTTTCTCTCCTAAAACATGCGTGTTGTTATCATGACACCTCAGCCCCTAGTAATTCTTTGGGACGTCAGGAAAATGATCTTCAACAGGGAAGATGAATTTTCTAGTGATGTCTTGAGAGCAGTTAATACACGTTTTTTCTTTTGAAGGGCATTCTGCTTTTTTATCTTGAAAAGCTAAGTGTCTTCCGTTTTGATTTTGATTTTTACTTCTGACACTTGGAAGGCAGTTGATGGTACAAAAGGGGCCCTGAGAGTAACAGCAGGATCTTGTGCCTGCTAATGCTGCGGACGGTCACCGAGCCTTCTGTAACCGCAAAGCCTGAGCCCCAGGCTGGGGGACACTGTCCTCCCGGCGCAAGACCCACCCCCTCGAGGTTTCCACGTGGCAACTTCGGGGGAAAGTAATTAGCATACTTAAGCATTGAAATGTTAAAACCTTAGTCCTCCTTTCCGCACTTTATTTTAAATCGGGATGGGGTGGGGGGTTAAGAGAAGGAACAAAACGGAAAATAAATGACTTGCAAAGACCTTAGTACCTGAAAGCCGGCGCGGTGGGGACGGGCTGCTTTTTACTGCTCTGTGATGAATGGTGGTGGTGGTGGTTAGTTGGTTTAAATTCCAGCAATTATTTGGCAGCACATTTCCTTACCAATCTATAAGAACTGCCAGCGGCGAAAAGAAAGAGATTTGTAGGAGGATACCGAAATCATCGTTAGCGCCTTCCGATCGAGCGCAGATTTAGCTAAACGGGCTGAAGCCTGTAGAATGTTTCTTTACAATTTTTAATGTTTTACAAAATCTTCGAGGATTTGTTTGTTGCTCACGCCTGTCTTTTTATTTTTTCTTCCACTCTAAGTGACCGGCTAGGTTTTACCGTTTGCATCTTGCGACGGGAAGGGCGGCCGATCTTTGGGACCGCGCGCCCCGTCGGAAGGACCTGCGCGCGCGGGGCTACCGCGCGCTGAGTCCGCGTCGCCGCCACCCGCGCTTCCCCAAGCCGGAGGTCCGGGCGCATGGCGCGGGGCCCGGCCGGCTCGGGGCGGCCCGCGCGGTGGCCGCTCCCGGGGCTGCGCCGTCGGGCCGGCGGGCGGGCGGGGGCGCGCAGTGGGCCGGGACCGCGGGCCGCCCCGAGCCGGCGAGCCCGTCGCGCAGCCCCGCTGCAGTGGAGGCAGATCAAAGGCTGCCCCGTGTCCCCGCGGAGCCCGGACAATCCCGCGCCTTTGTGCGCTGTTGCTAGGAGCCCGAGAAACTAAGAGAAAGTGTCAGGAGCATGTTAATCAGACTCGTTACAGTGCAACAATAACGTCTCTCTCGGGTCTCCCAGGCCCCCGCGCACCCCCGCCGCACCCCGCGCACAGGCCCGACACCTGCGCGGGGCCCTCACGCCCGCCCCGGGGACCCGCGGGCCCCTGTGTCCTCCTCCCAGGTCGGCGCCGCAGCCGGGCGCCGGGACGAGGCCCTGGGGTCCCTGCTAGCGCCAGGCGCATCCCTGGGTCCAGGGGTCCCTGACCGAAGCCCGGAGCCCTGAGCCTACCCAGCGCTGAGCCCATCCCTAACCGGGGGACCCGTGGCGGATCAGGGTCCCCTTGCTTTTCAGTCATTGCAGGGGGTGGGGGGCACTGCCCTCTTGTTCAAGCACGATATTAGAATCAAGAGAAAAAGGAACATTCCATTTCAGAGAGCTTTTTAGTGACTTGCTCGAAAAGCCTCTTTTTAAATTTTCTTATCAGATTCCATAGAGGATACTTTAAGTGATAATTCCGAGTTTCTGGAAGAAAAATAACCCAACCTTTGCTAAAGGTAAAGATTCCTCATAACTTTTTCGAGAGAATCACTTCATTCATTCCCTTATTCATTCAACAAACACCTCTCGAGCCCGACTGGATGCCAGACAGCTAGTCTGAAAGCCGCAGGACTGGTTCCGGGCGCACTTTTCGTTTAAAATTAAAATGTCCTTCTGTGAAGTGAAAAGAGGAGTAAAGGCATAAAATAATGTCAAATGTCAAAACAAAAAGAAGCGCCACTGGCTACTGCAGCGACAGTAACAAGAGAGGTGCGAATTAAGAATCTGAAGCCTTTGAAAAACTACACGCCATATGCTTTGAAAACCAGCCACTTTTTTTTTTTCCCACCTATTTCATCTCCTTCTCCCCAATTCTTTTGGCCCCTACGAGTTCAGCCAGGCTGCAGTCCTGACACCAGAGTCCTGTCTGAGGTCTGAGGAATGAAGTCAGCCTTTCTGCATGTTTGTAAACAGCTTGTCAGATTTGCTAAGAGATCAAACACACTGGGTCTTGGCCCCATTCTGCCCTTGGCCGGACACCGGGAATTGGAAAGCTGCGCTCGGTCTTAGGGCCTAATTTGGCCAACTCAGGGTGTTTTTCTCCAATAGGAGTTCTTGTTCGGGAATCAGGACAGACGTTCAGGAAGGGCAGAGGGGTTCTGCCCAGACTTCTTGGAGTATCACCGCCAAACCCTGAGTCAAAGACAAAGCTTCCCATCACCAGGAAGAACCACCCACGCTCAGATCACCTGTGCCTACCTATTGACCCCAGAGGGAAGTCCTGCAACTGCATCACACTTCTCGGTTGCTCAGAATCAATTTCTCTGTCACGCTGTGTGCAGCATGTAGACATAGAGAAAACGGGACATGGTCCCAGAGGTTAGTCTAAGCCCTAGAAGGAACTTCACAGATCCCCTTCATTACATCAGTAAGAGAGTCGATACACTGAACACCAAAGAAGACCAAACACTGACTATATCCTGGCATTAAAATATGTAGCTAATGCTGATGTATGGCAGAAACCAACACAATATTGTAAAGCAATTACCTTTCAATTAAATACATTTCTTAAAAAAAAACTACCTAGGTAAGGAGGTGAATCCAGTGAAAAGAAAGCTGAGTGTTTTTTGTTTTTGTTTTTTGTCTACACAGTGCCACATAGCTGGTTTGGGTTTTGTTTTGACTTGAAACAATGCATCCAGTTGCTTTGGTGATTCAGACACAGAAAAGAGTCCAGAGAAAAATGAACTTTCCATCTGACATAGCTTTGTGGTGTGGAGACTTCCTTCAGAAGACTACCCACTCTAGGCATCTTAATTTTTTTTTTTAATGGGCTCTTTTGGGTTCCATGGAAGGAAGAACATTAAACCAGCATGAACTTCTGGCTTAGAATCTCTGGGAAAACTGTGTTAATAATGCAAACTCCCAAATTCGGAGAAGAACACATTCGTTTCCTCCGTGGAATTTCCAGGGACTGGAATTCAGGCAGCGGCTTCCAGGGCGGCTCTGTGATGCTCTTCCCAGCGTGGTGTGAGGGAGCGCCGGCCACCAGGAGCCTCTCGGGCATTCCCACGCCAGCCCAGCGACATGCTGCCTGCCCCCCGGGGGGGGGCCTGGCCACTGGGCAGCTGGACTCGGTCTGTCTGGTTTCAGGGCCTGACACTGCAGTGCAAAGGCAGTGCGCTGTGCACAAGCCATCACTCCTGCCTCTCGTGGTACCCAACAAGCTCCTAACCATTTTGCAAGGACGCAGCTTAAAGAGCACTTGTGTGAAGTCTGCCCAGCTCCCCAGAGACAACGAGCTGGCCCTCCCCTGGTTCTTCACTGCACTGGGTCAAGAGTCTGTCATAATACTTTGTATACGGGGGTGGCTGGGTGTCCTCGAAACAGCGTGGGGGCACTGAACAAAGGACACTGCCACGCATGTCCAGATCCCTCTCCTGCCCATCACTCAGCCCCTGGGCCCCCCGACAGGAGCTCATGGAAGGTGTTTTCCCTAAAAGTAGGCCCCGAGACCTCAGTTTCCTCCATCAGACATCCTGCCTCCCAGATGTGTACAAATATTGGCCCTTCCAGTGGACTTGCTCAAGGTCACACAGCTGGCGAAACCAAGACGTCGACCACAGTCTGGAATTGAAATTGCTGAACCACACGGTGCACAGACGTGAACCCCCCCGACTGACACGTTACGCTCCCCACAAAGGACGCACCAGAGTTTTTTGAAGCAACGAGAACATAGCTGAAGCCTCTTTTTCAACAGCTGCCTCCCTCAGAGACAGTGCCTGACCCTGGCGAGGGTGTGCCAGGTCCTCAGAGTTCAAACAGCCAGTCGTCCAGTGCAGCCAGGGAGCCGCTCCTCTAGGGAGGCTTCGTGCCCCCCCAGCCCTTCCCAGACTAAAGAGCCCTGCGCACATTTTGCCAGGATGGCCCCCTGGGAGGACGGGTCCAACGGCTGGACGGTCTCGTGGCTGGTATAAGGAAAGGGGCTCCAGGAGAGGGCTGAAGGAGCTGGACCGGACTCCAGGATGAGGCCTCCTCTCGGCCGCCCCCAACTCCTGCAGCCCCCCGTGGCCCCCACCCTTCTGTGCATCACCTCTCAATCCATCTAGCCCCTCTTCTCCTTCTATTTCCCTTTTCCTTATAATTTTTGACCTTCCTTCTTCTAGCAAATTCTCAAACCAAAAAATAATCGACAAACGTAGGGAAGAAAACAAAAGTGGGTAAAAATTAATGTTTCCAATGACGTGTCTGTGTTTGGAAAATAGTAAGTCTAGTGTCCTTAAGCTGTGAACTCCCCCCAGGACCCTCCGTGGGCCTTCATTTACTGTGAACTTGGCAAGGGGAGTTTATTGGCCCATTTCACTGCAGAGAGCCGGAGTGCAGAGGAGAGCTAATACTGTACTTTGGAAATCCATGGAGAAATGTTAGTGAGGCTGCTAATTACTCAGTAAATTAAACACTGCTGCCAAAGCTGCTATTTCTCATGTCCGGCATTTTGATTGTGCTGTCTTAAAGCAGGGCCAACATTCAGATTCCCGTTAAGCGATCAAGAAGATGCGGATCTGGCAAACTGGTTACTAGTTCTTTATGTTTCAGGAGACATCATGTGAGTGTGCAGCCTGCAACTCACATGGGAGCCCAGAAGGCTGCTGACAAATAACAGAGCTTAAAGAGATAAAAAACTGCTTTCTATCCCGTTCTTAACTTTATTTCTTCGGGGGAGGACACTGACAGAAAGGTAACAGTAAATGATCTTTTATTTAAAAAAAAAACAGGTTATTTTCAAATTATGATAAACATTCCACTTTGGATGACTGAGGGTGGAATCCCCCCAAATCATTTTCTTTTTCACAACTTGGCTTTGTAAAGAGCTTTGTGAAAACCAGTCCGTCTTTGCATCATCTAAGGAATTTTAAATTGTGACATATATTTATGAGACTATTTCAGGCGAATATTTTCAAAATAAGTAGCAAATAAATGGGTCATGAATTTGCATGCACCGCTTCTGAAAATGAGCACATTTGAAAACAGTTTGCTCCAAAGGCGCCATTGGCCTTTTTCCTTCCTTCTCAGAGAGCATATGTGTTGCATTAGTAGTCAGAAAAGGGCGTGTTTTCATAGCCTCCAGTGCTGCATTTATAAAAATTGTGATGATTTTAGGACTGCACCTTCATTTTTTGAATTTTCAAAACTTGTCCCTTTTTGCTCTTTTATTTTCTTTCAACAAAACAAAGACAGGAGAACCCCTGTAAGAAATTTTATACATTCCCACAGAGTCGCAGTTTGTTGACCTTCAGGCCACAGAGTAAAACCTTCCTTTTAAGTCAAGCATTCCCCATTGGGAAGTGCTCCAGCTTTTTCTTTTTATGAGGAATTTTAACTGCTGGACTTAATTTAATTATTGTATTTTGTGCATACACTCAGAAGCCTCAGGGCCTGAGCTTTACTTTTTTTCAAAACTTTCAAATGAATATCTTTAGAAATGCACATTTCTGACGGTAACCTTCCGTCTTCACTTGTATTTCTAATCTAAATACCAGACTTCGATGGTTCTGTTTCCCGACTTATTCATGGAGAGGCTTCAATGTCACATGTCTTTGCAACAGACACTCTTCTCCAGTAGACACGGAATATGGTCATTTGAGTCTTGAACATGGGACCCCAGGCTTCATAGCAAGAAAATAAAAACCATCTCCAGTTGAACTACATTTTAAAACTTGATGGTTCTGGGGACATAGTCTTCAGTGAAAAGTTTGAAAGTTCCTAGTTTGAAACCAGTAGCATGCTGGCCCTATGGTTGTGGTTTGCCACCATCTGTCCCTATATTTCTCTGACATAGTCCCCAGCATCAGCTGCTCCTCCCAGATCTCTCTCTCTCTGTCTCTCTCACACACACACACACACACACACACATGGAGTTGTCATCTTGAGCTAAGGGCAAAGATTCACTATCTTCTTTTCTCCTCTCTTCTTATCCATAAACAGTTTCACTTGAGCCTTGTGATTTCCACTTGGAAATCAAACACTTTGACCACATTCTGACTCTCAAAGACAAAAAATACTTTTTTTTTTTTTTTTCTGGTATTGACTTAAAACTCATATAGGAATATTGGAATCTGGAACAAACATAAACTTGCCAAATTCATAAGCTCCGCCCAAAATATTTCATGAGGGTTGGACCACTTATTAAGTAAGTTTCATTTTAGGATTTCTGAGACCTCTGAATTTAGGAAGATGTTTTCAAGCAGAATTATCTGCTAGGTGAATCTGATTGTCTTATTTATTATGACTTAAAATTGTAGAAATCGCAGCATTTTGGTGTCAAAGAAGGACTTTTAAGATCACCTTAGCCAAAGATCTAGACCCTGGCACATATTAGAATTATCAGGTGAACATTTAGTAACTACCCCAGTCGAACCCATCATTTTGCAGGTTAAAAAGAGGAACAGCCAAACAAAACTCTGATGGCTCTTCCATTCGAGGTCTAAGGTACAACATCGTAACATGATTCGGCAACTCCTGGCCATGCTAAACTTTAAAAAGCAAACTTAGGTTTCCGTAATCACGTTTTGGGCCACACCGCTTGAACAATAGTTGACTGATTCTTCCCATGATACACTTTGGAATTTTATCCACATTCGCATCCCTGACTGGTCACAGAATAGGTTGGAAGGGTCACAGTCTTGAGATGTCTCACTCTAACTTTTGAAATAAGGTAGACTTGCGTGGATGTCTGCCCTTCCTGTGAACGCACTTAAGTTGGCTTTTCAGGGGCAATGTCATGCTCCATGACTGATACTCTGCGAATTTATTTTTCCTACATATATATAAAATATCTCGGCAAAAGCAGTATTTCTCCCAGTGTCATCTGATGATCTCAAAACACTCGAACCATAGAGCTTCACACCGTACTGGTTTTATAAAAACAGAAGCAAAGGGACGTCTAATAGCAGCTCGTCTGAGTGAGTCCCAGGGCCCTTCGAAGGCAGAGGTGAGCTGAGCTGTCACCTCTGATCGCCTCAAGAGAGCGAGGGGAGCCATGCTGAGAGCAAGGGCTCCTTCTAGGAAGAAGTCTCAGCTGGGGTCTCCTCCGCCCTTTGAGCCAGCTTGGTCAGTGCTGGCCCTCACCCCACCTCCCCCAAGTAGAGCGCCCCCTCACCCTTCCCACACCGCAGCTGCCTCCTATTCCCCCTTCCCCACGCATCGGAGGTGGCATGCTTGCAGGTCACCAAGGGAAAAGGGGCGCTCCAGTCATTTGGACTAGAGGGCCAAGGACCTCCCAGGAGAGATCCAGGGAGCTTTGATCTCAATTATTTGCCTTGGGCTGAAAGACCTCTATTTGGCCACTCCTCAAGGGTCCTAATAAGGCCAGGACCTGGGATCCCAGAGGCAAACCTTTTTTCTTTTTTTTTTTTTAACGAAAGGAATGCCGAGATGCAATGATTAAAGCTATAGAGTTACGGGGAGATGGCATGTTAATATGAGGCATACCTACATAGAATACGCTCAGTAATTCACTCCTCCAGCAGATATTAATCGAGCTTCTATGGTGTGCCTGCAGTAAGTGACATCACTGTGTCAGTGATGGGCTCGAAGGGTCATCCTGAGGCTGGCCCCAAGGTCTTGTCCAATAGATCCATCAGAGTGAAGGAACGTGGGTGGTGAAAGCCTGTCTCATTCTGGCCCCCCAGCCCCCATCCTGTTCTAATTACTCCTCCTATCCTTTATAACAAACATGCACCAAGATCATAGCTCCAGGCCTGAGACCAAAAAGTAAGGAAGAAATCAAGAGTATCTTAGAGGTAGATTCTCATGCAACCTTAAAAAAAGAATGTGTATGAAAAGATTTTTAAAACATTTAATGACAAGAACTGCTGAAACATTTGCCCTTGCTCGGTTACTTTCTTCCCCTTTACACTTTTCTGTACCTTTCAAATTGGCTACAGTGAACTCATATCCCTGTGATAGACAAGAAGTAAGATGAATGATAAAATTGTTGTTCAGTCCCCTCAGTGGTCCAACTCTTGTGACCCCATGGACTGTAGCCTGCCAGGTTCCTCCCTTCATGGAACTTCCCAGGCAAGAATACTGGAGTGGGTTGCCATTTCCTTCTCCAGGGGATCTTCCCTCCCCAGGGATTGAACCCAAGTCTCCTGCGTTGGCAGGCAGATTCTTTACCATCTGAGCCACCAGGGAAGCCCAAATGCGGGACTTTGGATTTTTCCTTATTTTCTAAAATAGATGGAAGCTTTGTAAACAGAAAAATGTTTGTTAGCATTTAATTTTGTGGTTTTAAGTAAGGATGACCAGAGGTGAGCAAAATAAATCTAGGCAAAAATCAGAATTTGTTTTTTGTTTCTTTCTGTTTGTTTTGTTTTTTGTTTCCCACTCGAAGCTAGTGGGA